GTGTCATAGGGGACGCTCATGTTAAGTGGAAAGATGGATAACTACTTGGATTTAGGAGAAAGAGATAGAATTCCAAGAGATTGTACTGGCTTTGTTGAGACAGAAAATAGGTACCTTCCTAGCCCAGCAGGACGTCGGTTACAACTGTGTGGATGGGACAGGAGAGCACAGACAGGGCCGCTTTTCAGATGGGACGCTGTGTCGGGGGTGACGCAGAGAGAGGTGTGTTCCTGCTGTGCGAGGTCCTCGCTTGGGAAGACTCTGGCCGTTTATTTGTAAATGTGGGGGAATTTGAGATTCACTTAGACATCTTGGCGTGCAAGGCCAAATCTCCAAATTCTTGAATTTATTTACCAGCTAGGGGAAGCATATTTCCAACTATAATTTTATTTACAAAGGGCTCTAATCTGGTGTGAAGTCTGAAGGCATGTTTGTTTAACAAGTGACTCAATTAGCCAGCAAGATGAGAACAAAGGAAAGCCATTATGCAGATGAATACCCATTCAAAGCCCTGAGCCTTTGGAGGCTTCCTTCCCAGCAAGTGGGAGAGAGGCTTTGGTCTGCAAGTTGCCCATCCCTGCTGTGTTTACTGCTAATTCTCTCTTCTATTAGACCATGAGTGATTAATATGATTACATTTCAAAGCTCTCAGATTTGTCAATTTTTTTTCCATCTAACAGCCTATAATTATAGATTATTTTAAATCCAAGAAAAGGAACTCAAGCTCCAACTCATCTACAACTCCTTGCATATATTTCTTTCATTTTTAAAAAAGATTTATTTATTTACTTGAAAGGCAATTAGAGAAAGAGAAGGAAAGAGAGAGATCTTCCATCTGCTGGTTCACTCCCCAGATGCTGCAGTGGCCAGCGCTGAGTCAAGCTGAAGCCAGGATCCAGGAACTCCATCGGATCTCCCACTTGGGAGGCAGGGGCATGTTGTAATGTTTCCCAGTAGTATTAGCAGAGAGCTGGATTAGCAGGGAGCAGCCATACTGCCTGCAGTGTTGGCTTAAACCACTGCCACAACGCTGGCCGCCCTCATATTTATTTCCTTGAGTAGTTTTTGTATACATAGTTTTACACATGTGTAATGCTGGTACATGTACAATTGTGAGTATTGCCTTTTCTACCTATAACACATTGCATTATTTTGACTTAAAATATTAAACATTTAATTGACAGCAAGAGAGAGAGCTCCCTAAATGCCTGCAACAGTTGTGGCTGGGCCAGACCAAAAGCAGAAGTTGAACATTCAATTCTGATCTCCCTTGTGGGTGGCTGGGACCCAGGCACTTGAGCCGTCACCTGTCACCTGTTTTTCCTATGTGTGCATCCATGAGTGGGAAGCTGGAATTGGGGGTGGAGCTGGGATTCAAACCCAGACTCGCCCATGTGGGATGTGGACAGGCCAAGCAGCATCTTAGCCACTGTGCTGAAGCTGGCCCTGAGTCCTGGGCATTTGTCTGCTGTGATCTCCCTTCAGCCCCAGGAAATGTCAGCAACTGTCTCAGCTTCTGCCTCTCTGAGGACATCTTTATCTTCTTGAACTGAAGAACATTTTTTGCTACATAAATATTCTCTGATTCTGTTTTTTTCTTTCAGTATTTAAAAGACAGTATTCTATTGCTTCCTGGTTTCTTTGTTCTAGTCTGATGAGAAGTCATTCATCATTTGTTGTCCCCCTCTTTGTATAATGTGTCATGTTGTTCTCAGTGCTTTTTGCGTTTTCTTTTTACTGTGGGTTTTCATGACTTTGACTGTTACGTGTCTAGGTGTAGTTTTGTTTGTGTTTCTCTTGTTTGAGGTTCACTGAGCTTCTTAGATCTACAGGTCATCCATTTTAGAGTGCTTTTAGCAGTTACTTCTTCTTCTTTTTTTTTTTTTTTTTTGACAGGCAGAGTGGACAGTGAGAGAGAGAGACAGACAGAAAGGTCTTCCTTTGCCGTTGGTTCACCCTCCAATGGCCACTGCGGCTGGTGCGCTGCGGCCAGTGCACCACGCTGATCCGATGGCAGGAGCCAGGTACTTATCCTGGTCTCCCATGGGGTACAGGGCCCAAGTACTTGGGCCATCCTCCACTGCACTCCCTGGTCACAGCAGAGAGCTGGCCTGGAAGAGGGGCAACCGGGACAGAATCCGGCGACCCGATTGGGACTAGAACCCAGTGTGCCTGCGCCACAAGGTGGAGGATTAGCCTAGTGAGCCGCGGTGCCAGCCAGCAGTTACTTCTTACAATGTTGTCTGTTCCATTCATCCTTCTGAGACTTTTGTCACATGACTTGTTATCAAGTTAGATCTTAAATATTCTGTTTATATAAAATATTTTGAATTTTTTCTTTCTTTTTTGAGTTTGGATTCTATTGATCTGCCTTTTAGTTCACAGATGATTTTCTCCTTTGTCTCCCAGTTTGCTGTTGAGGTAATCTAGTGACTTTTTCATTTCTAACATGGTATTTTTATTTCTAATTATTCCATTTGATTTTCTTCTAGCATGTCTAATATTTCATGCTGAACATATCTCTATGATATTTCCTAAATTTTTATGCATGTTCTCTACATTTCCATTTTATTTTTAGCATTTTTTTAGATTTATTTATTTATTTGAAAGAGTTACACAGAGAGGAGAAGCAGAGAAAGAGTCTTCCATCCGCTGGTTCACTCCCCAATTGGCCACAATGAGCAGAGCCGTGCTGATCTGAAGCCAGGAGCCAGGAGCTTCTTCCAGGTCTCCCACAAGGGTGCAGGGGCCCGAGGTCTTGGGCCATCTTCTACTGCTTTCCCAGGCCATAGCAGAGAGCTGGATTGGAAATGGAGCAGCCAGGACTCGAACCGACACTCATGTGAGATGCTGGCACTGCAGGCGATGACTTTACCCCCTACACCATGGCGCCTGCCTCGATTTTTAGAATTTTTATTGTAGTTATTTTCAAGTCTTTTAACAATTCTGACATTTTTTTAAAAAAGATCTAATTATTAATTTGAAATTCAGAATTACAGAGCGAGAGAGAGAGAGAGCGAGAGATCATCCATCTTCTGGTTCACTCCCCGAATGGCTAAAACGGCTGCGGCTGGGCCAGGATGAAGCCAAGAGCCAGGAGCCAGGAGCCAGGAAACTCAGGTTTCCTACATGCAAGGTCATAAGCACTTGGGCCATCTTCTGTTGCTTTCCCAGATACCTTAGCAGGGAGCTGGATTGGAAGTGGAACAGCTGGGACTCGAACTGCCTCCCATATGGGATGCCAGTGCTGACAGTGGCTTAATCCTCTACGCCACAGCACTGGCCCCAATTCTGACCTATTATATTTTTGGGTTTGTTTCTATTTATTATTTCCTCTCTTAACTGTGGGCTACATTTCTCTTCTTTTAAAATGTTAGTATATATTTAAAATATATTTATTTGAAAGGTGGTGAGGGGGAGGGAGAGAGAGAGACAAAGAGAGAGAGAGAAAGACAGAGACAGAGACATCCAGGGCTGGGCTCATCTAGACCCAGGAGCCCAGAACTCAATCTAGGTCTCCCACATGAGTGTCCGGGAGGGACCCAAGCATTTCAGCCATCACTGCTGCCTTCCAAGGTGCCCATCAGTGGAAGCAGAGTGAGGACTTGAACCGAGGCATTTCCTTAGGGGATACAGTTTTCCTGTGCAGCATCTTAACTGCTGTGCCCAACACCAGTCCCTATTCCTGGGTCTCTTGATGTTCCGTTCTATGCCCGAAATTTTGTAGGAAAGAGCAGCGGAGACCAAAATAAAAATATTTACTCTCAGAAAACGTATACTTTCCTTTTTTAGAGTGGGAGCTACGTCCCTTTGACCTTCAGTTGAGCTCAGACTGGACTTCATTACAGCTTTCATTTTGTTCAGTTCACCACTGGCTTCAGATATTTTAAGGGTAGGATCAGAACTTTCTGTCCAGCAGGTGCTGGGATCTGAGCATTTGTGAGATTCCAGAAGACCACTTGTGATTCAAAGCGGAGCCACGGGCCTTTGGGCCAGTGGGGGTTTCTCTTGTTTTGCAGCTTAGACACCTGCCTGGGGGGCCACTGAAGAGCCCTCCTCGCTGTCCACTGCCATATTCCTGCTTTCTGAGTGTTGTTGTAGGGTCTGGTTTGGCTCTGATGCTCCGCTCTGGGGGTATTCTGGAGAGAAGATTCCGGAATGTCTTGAAGGAGGTGTTCTTAGTTCTTTTGCTCTCCCGCTAGGCCGTAGTGTATGAACATCCGTAATGCTTTGTAGCTTATCTGTGTTGCTTTGATTATTTGGGAGAGAATAGGCTTTCTCTGCTGGCTCTCTAGATTTGAATTGGAAGTGGAACCCCAACCAAGTAGACTTCAATAAAGATCTAAAATGTGAAGGGCTGGTGCTGTGGTGTAGCAAGTCTGGTTTGGCCACTGGCATCCCATATGGGTGGTGGTTTGTGTCCCGGCTGCTCCACTTCCAATCCAGCTCCCTACTAATGGCCTGAGTAAGCAGCAGGAGATGGCCCAAGTACATGAGCGAGCCCTTGCACCCATGTGGGAGACCCGGAAGAAACTCCTGACTCCTGGCTTCTGCCTGTCCCAGTGCTGGCAGTTTCAGCCATCTGGGGAGTGAATCATCAGATGGAAGATCTCTCTCTCTCTGTAAACCTGCCTTTCAAAAATAAATAAATAAATGTTGTTTTTAAATCTAAAATTTGTAAAGTGCTTTAAAAAATTTTGACACCTTCAGATAGAATCTAGGAGGTGGATACCCACTCAAAATATGTAAAGATTTTAATAGTTCTTAATAAAAATATGGTCCTATTGACGTGTGATAAACAGGAAGTTGAGGCAACGCGAACTCTTGTATGCCAGAAGAGTGACGCTGTGTCTTTAACTGTAATTTGATATTCCCACCTTCCCAGGATGCACCCGGACCAGTGCTAAGACCCCACCCTATTTGCATATCTAACTGGGGCCCCACCCCCTTGCTTATAAAAGGAGGCGGAAGGCGGAAAGCGGCACTGCGCTTGCGCTCGAAGGCCCTGAGGAGAAGTGGGCTGGGTTTCTGGTCTGTTCTGGGTGCTTCTCTCCCGTGAGCTCTGCCGCCGCGAGGCGTCGACGTCTCCTGCTCTCCCCTGAGCCGCCCTCGAACGACGTACCTTCCAAGCACAGGTACGGTTTTCGGTTTTTCTTTTCTCCCTGGGCTGCGGGCGGTCCCTTCATGGTGGGTATTTGTCAGCGTGGAGCGGCCCACGCCCACGCCCACTCGTGAATGCACATTTAGCGCTTCACTGCCAAACGCGCTCTGCTCCTCTCTCTGCGGGAGAGGAGACCCTGAGTTAAAAAAAACTGAGATATTTGCGCGCACCGCCATTTCTTTCCCACAGCAAGCCCCCAGAAGAAGCCATGCCTGTTTTTAAGGGGGGTGAGTAACTGTCTTGCTTCATAAGCTTTGCGTATTGTAATTGATCTTATATTGCTAGTTGATTGGGAAAGTATTCCTGTGGACTACCCGCCTCTCACTTCGGGCACTGTACAGGATCAGCACCCTGTCTTCATATTTAGTAGAACTGAGTTTCCCTTGGGAAGAAAACTGGTGATTTTTAGAAACGATTTATTTTATTTTATTTGAAAGGCAGAATGACAGAGAGAAAGGGGTCGTCCATCGGCCTGTTCACTCCCCAGATGGCGGTGAGGATCAGGGCTGTGCCGGACCACAGCCAGGAGGCTGGGAATCCCCACGGGTCCCGCAAGCCCTTGGGCCGTCTTCCACTGCGTGCCTGGCACGTGGGCAGGGAGCTGGATCAGAAGCAGCGCAGCCAGGATTCGAACCGGCGCTGCGTTATGGCATCGGGTGCTGCAGGCGGCAGCTAACCCACTGCACCGTCGCACCGGCCTGGAAAACTAGTCGTTTAATTGTCACCGTGACCTGTGAGGAAGGCGTCACCTCACTCCCTCTCCCGGAGGGGGAAGAAAGGCGTGGTGAGGGGGACAGGCTTGTCCCAGGATGCTCTGAGTCCAAAGCCTCAGTCACACAACTTCGATGTGATTTTTCTTATATCTGAACCCAGCCAGTGTCATGTGTCCGAGCCAGCTGCTGCTACAGTAATGCCACGTAACAGAGCACCCCTAAACTCAGGCTTCAAACAGCGTTTATTTTATTAGTCTGCGGTTTACAGCCGCTCTGCTTAAAAATTCCTCAGTGTGGTTTTGGTTACCCGTAGTCCACTGTGGTCCAAACATGTTAAGTGGAAAATTCACCAAGTAGACGATTCCCGTTAGAAGTCGCATGCCTTTCTCAGTCGTGGGGTGAAACCTGCTGTCCTGCTCCGTCCTGGGACGTCTGTCATCCCGTCGTCCGTGTACCCGCTCTGTATACACCACGCACCTGTGAGCCCCTGACTGCCTTAGCTTGGTTCCCAGGTTGTGTTCAGGGACCCTTTCTTGTGCTTCACCCGGCCCCGGAGTGCAAGGTTACTGATGCTCACCGTTCGGCTGTGCTGAAGAAAAGCTGCAGGGTGAGGAGGTGAGAGCTCTCCACTCAGGAAGGGAGGGGAAAGCTCACCCGTGGAGTTTGAACTGAGCAAACCTTTGGATTTCTGCCCTTCCTTGCCCCTTATATATTTAAAAATACATGTTGCCCTTACGAAGGAATGTGTTATTATTTTTAGTTGAGGGTGACTTCAGGAGGCTGGACTAGATTAAAGGGTCTCTGTAGCTCCTCCAACAACTCTGTGTGCCACCACTCCCGGGCGGGAGATATCCAGTAGGGCAGATCTTTCACCCATGACATTGTGAAAGTGGAAAAAAGAAATTTGCGCTGGTTTTGCTGTTGCTGCATAAACTGCACAAGTTAGAACAGTATGTGCTAAGAGCTTAGTGGAGACGGAAGAGGCATGAAATGTGTGCAGGTATGTATAGGAAATAAAACCCCGGGGTACACCGAGTTCAGTACTAACCGGGTTCAGGCCTCGCCTGGGGGTCTTGAATGCCTTCTCAGCGGATAAGGAGGGGCTGCTGTCATTTCTAAGAACTAAAGTAGGGCGCGTGGATGACTCGGGCAGCGGACGGTGGGATGGCTGCTGTGTTGTGCTTTCTCTTATCACCTCCCTTCGCAGAGTGCTGCCAATGTCCTGTTTGTTTTCACAGCACAGAGCTGTTTTGTCGCCTCTCCTTTCAATGTCTCCTTCTCAGCTGTGCCCTGGGGGGCCTCACATTTCATAACCAAAGCTGCCTATCAACGTATTTTGCTAAAGAAAATACATTTAGTCTGGAGAGAAGTCATGTCTCCCTGAGGAAGAGGAGCAGCTGCAGCCTGTAGTCGTTTTCAAAGGCTCTGTCACTCACGATTAGTCTCCTTAGTTGAACCGTTGGAGGTCAGAGGTGAAGATGTGCAGGGGACTTAGTAAGAAAGGGAAGCATGTTGGGGGGCCACCTGCTCTGTGCTACCAAAGCTGGTGCAAGCAGAGGCTCCCAGTCACCCCTGAATGACACACTGCTGTCCGCATGGCCTTGTGCAGAAATGAGCCTTGCATAGGCCGAGTAGCCCACTCCTCCCAACACACTGCCTCCAGGGCGGCAGTGGGAGACGCAGGAGTTGACGCCTAAGCGTGTCCTCTCGTTCTCCCCTGACGGAATATAAAGGCATCTTATTTTCTAGCCTTTGTGGCTAGAGCCGGCCCCGCTGGCCTGGTGATCCTGGGTCTCTGTCCCACTTCTCTGTTGGTCGGTTGGTGTGGTTGGAACCACACTGCTGCCTCCAGTAATGAGAGGAGGCAGTCAGGTCTGGGGAGGGAATGAAAAAGTTCCCAGGGCACAAGGCAAATGAATGAATTCCACTGATCTTGTGTGGTTCCTTATGGGATCATCCATCATGATTTAAAAACATGAAGCCCAGAGGAACTGTAGGCAGGCATCCCGCCCCGAGACACAGAAATGGTGGAATTTGTGGCTGAAAAACTCATTTGCCTTCCTGTTACTGTTACCCGCATCGTGGCCATAATGCTGTATTAAGTAGGGTATCATCATGTCATTTAGTTCTCCGCTGGCTCCAGGAGCCCTGGCTTTCCTCATCCTGCCATAACTCGCTCATATGAACCAGTTCCCAAGCTGCAACATCAGCATATACCTGCTGCAGACCCACCGTGTGCGCAGCAGAGAGGGTGCAGAAAAGCTTTGTGCTTGCCCTGGTCCTCGGGAAACTTATCTTCCTCTTGCTTTGCTCCTTTAATGCCTTTTTATATATTTTTAATGCAATACTGGAAACACACAAAAGAAAATATGTTTCAAAGTATAGTCACAGAAGAAAAAGCCACGAAGTCATTGCCTGACTTAGTGACTAAAATTACCAGTAGAACTGGATCTACCTGGGGGTTAATGGGCTCTCCTGCACCCGTCTCATCCCGTTACAGAAATCTCTGCTGGTTTTGTGTTTTCCTTCCCGTCTTTTGCTTTACTAGCTTTATCAGCAATGTTCACACATACACGGGGCCTTCAAAAAGTTCATGGAAAAACGCACTTTTTAAAAATTCCATTCTGTTTCTTTTTTTCATGAACTTTTTGAAGTGCCTTTTTTTGTGTGTATTTTTTTAAGTTTTTCTTTTGAGCCTTATGAAATGGTATCATAATCTATTATTTTGAGACTTGATTTTTTTTCACTCAATATGATTTCTAAGGTTTATCCCATTTTAAAGTTCTTTTCTCTCCTTTTCTTTGAATTGAGATTTTTGTTTGCATTTGTTTTGCTCTCACATTCAGCTTTCCTTTCTATCAGCTTGGCATTTTAAAAGTCCACAATTAAAAATCCCAAAGTAAGAAAAGTAAAATTACAAGAAAGTTAAAATCATTTTTATATTATTTTCTCTTGAAATTTTATTTACTTAGTAAAATTGAAAGTCTATCTCAGCTTTCCCTTCTCAGTAATGTAAGGACTTTATCATGTCAGTGACCTCCTCCTGTCATTATGATTGATGGTTTCCATTTCTGGCTTTAAAAGACTCACAAATTAGATTATTATTTGCATTTTATATGGATAATGTTTTAGAATTATCTACCTGCTTTTGAGTTTATTTGCTAACTGTGCACCTGAGAACTTTATTCTGGGCCGTTTTTCTTGTTCCATTTTTAAAAGAATTCCTTTAGTGATGATCTGTTCGTAGTAAAATCTCAGTTTTGGTTAATAAGGAAAGGTCATCTCATATCATTCTTAAAAGAACCCTTTGCCTGGTACACGCTTCCAGAAGGATGATTGCTTTCTCTTAGGCCTTTGGTGACTTTGTTCAGGGTTTCGTGCCTTCCGTGGCTGTGCCTGAAACCGTGGTGCTGATCTCAGCACTGCTGTTCAGAGGGTGATCTGCCAGGTCCTCTGGGGGCTTTTAGATCCTCTGTTTTTGATGTGCTGTGGTTTCATTGCAGTGCACCTAGGGAGAAATTTTGTTTTATTTCTTTTGTTTATGGAGACAGTCTCCCACTTAACAATGGTTCGACTTAGAATTTTCATCTTTATGAGGGTGCAAAAGAGATAGGCATGCAGTAGAAACAGTAGTTTGAATTTTGATCTTTTCCGAACTCTCTCAGGGTACTGGGCACTGGCCATAGCTCCCAGTCAGCCCTTCCATCATGAGGGTAAACCACAGATATTCCACAGCATACTTGTGGAATAAGTGCATTTTCAACTTGTGATTGCTTTATCAGGACATAACCACATTTTAAATTGAGGAGTATCTGTGCATGTTGTACTTGTACTAGAAGATTAACATATTAGTATTTCTAGAAAATTCCTATTGATTATCACTTTAAATATTGCCTCTCAGGGCTAGCATGTTCGTGTAGCAGGTTAAGTCTTAGGCTGAGACGCCGGCATCCCATATAGGTACCAGTTCATGTCTTGGCTGTTCCACTTTCGATCCAGCTCCATGTTAATGGCCTGGTAAAAGCAGCAGCAGATGGGCCCAAGTACTTGGGCCCCTGCTACCCATGTGGGAGACCTGGAAGAAACTCCTGGCTTGTGGCTTCGGCCTGGCCCAGCCCTGGCTGTTGCTGCCATCTGGGGAGTGAATCAGCAGATAGAAGATCTCTTCTCTGTCTCACTCTCTCTGTAACTCTGACTTTTAAATAAATAAATAAATCTTTAAAAAAATGCTGCCTCTTGTCCAATCACTCTTTTCTCTCCT